CATAGCAACAGAGAAAGCCTGTGAGCACGCTGGTTCATCTCTTCAGTCTCAACACTTTATGGTCAGCCCTTCATGTCAAAATGTTGTTTTTCCCACCAAATAACAACCAATCAATCAACAACCCCAGCAACAATCCTAATCTGAAATGTTTTCCTAGGTTGGTGCTTTGGGCCCTTCTAGTTTACAATGCTACCAACAACACCAACTTAGAAGGAAAAACCATCCAGCAGAAGCTCTTAAAAAATAATGAGTCCCTGGATGAGGGTTTGCGGCTATATACGGTGAATGTGAGGCAACTGGGTACGTGACTTTAATTTTTTTATAATATGCATTTGATATGACTGTATATGTGGGTTTAATTGAAAAAACAAACATATTCGTTATGTGCTATTCAATTATGTAAAAATAGTTTCTTCTGATGATGAAGTTCATCATAGTGGTGACATTGTAATAAATAAGTTGATGTAGCAAAAAAAAAAAAAAAAGGAATCAGCTCAGTACCTAGGAATCCAAGGGAATGAAGGAGGCAGAAGAGAGTTTATACTTTATTTTAGGGACATATTTTGAAAATATTAAGAGCGTGTACATATAAGCAAAATGCCAGAATAACCTTGGCCATCATTGGCTTCAGCTTTAGGGATGAAAAGAGTGTGTATATGTTCATATAGGAGCTCTAATGTGGTAGATATTATAGAAGGCACTTTCCTGTTATAAAAAAAATCTCCTTTTCTTACGTTCCCTGTCTATTTAACAATACCACTGTCTTCGCAGGAATAGGCCAGGAATCTGGGCGTTCTCTTGGACCTAGAATCAAGTCTCACCTGGACACGATTCACATCCTAATCTCCAGCCACACACGTGGCACTGCCTGCACTTCCCCAAACAGGCCGTGCTCCTTTCCACATCCTTTCTATGTCTTTGCCTACATGGCTCTTCCCTACTCCCATTGTCCACCTGATTGTCACCTACCTAGTTTTAAAGACAGCTCTCAAGTCACCTTTTCTATGAAGCCTTTTCAAACATCATCATGTGTTAATAGACATCACTGCCTTTGAGCCTCCACTTCATACTGTCCAGATACCTAGAGCATTACACTCATTAGAAGACCGTAATGTTTGACTGGATGTATTTATGTTCTTAGGTATATTTTCTTTAAATGATAATCTCTGGCTTAAAAATCATGTTTTAATTTTTCTTTAAACCCTTATTTCCCACCTGCCCCCAGATCCCAGCGCAGTCCCTGGGACTTGAATACTTGCAAAGTAAATGAATGAGTGAGTCTTGCTGGGAATAGTTTAGGAAGGCAAATGTTCAAAAATACGGACAACAAAAAGTAATTATTCTAGTAATTATTATATGATTAGGTACATCAGTCGAGATCAAAAGAAAAGAAAACATTGACACTTCACACTCAGGAGGTCGAAGCAGGGAAGCAAGTATTGCTCAGCCTCAAAGAGGGTGACTGTGACTGAGGTCAGAATCACAGTGTAGTAAAGAACCAGGCGTTTCCACTTCTGTGAGGAACCAGCCATCTCCATTGTGTCGATGTACATGATTACAGAGAACTCGTAGAGATGGGTGAATGCAATATTTAATAATAATGATAAACAGTTTCTGAGCCTCTGTGTGGAAATACTTGCTTCCTAACAGTGCTTTTTGGGGGTAGGGAAAGCACGGCCTGCTTCCCTTTTCCATACAGGATTCTCTGCAAAGAAGGAGCTTGACGAATGGTAGCTTATATGTGACTGAGGTACCCTAGGAGGACCAGCCCTTCTCTGTCTTCAGAGGCTGGAGGATCCCCCAAGACAACTCTCTCTGCTTACCTGGATGTTTAATTTATACCATTTAAATTAAATTCTGCATTTTATTATTTTTCTGCAAGTGGGTCTGTGGAGAGAAGTTTCTTCCTTCTACCAATTTAAAAATAAAAGGCTAAAATCTGACAATTTTAAAGCCCAGACTGTGAATGGGAAAGTTATTGGAATTTTCAATTGTTGACTGCAATTCTGGTTCCTAGTAGTCCGGCACAACTTGCTGTTTTTTCGTCACTGAAACATGAAGTCTTGTTGTTACTGACGTATTGCTGTTACTTTCATGTTTTTTAAAATGTAAAATCTGAATCCTTTATGTCATGACACTCTCCCAGAGAGTTTCAAGCAAAAAGTGGGATGATTCGGGGGTGAAGCAGTGAGGGTAAGACATGGAATTTGCTCACAGGTGCCTTCTTGCCATCTCCCCAGTAACTTCCAGGCAGTAGATGATCTCAGAGCAGCTGGAACATTTCCATAAAATATCCTCACAGCTCAATGATAATGCTATTGCTGCACTATTTTATAGGCTTCAAAAAGATCAAATGACATTTTGAATTTTTCAGGATTATTTTAATTTTCCATAGTGTTTAATTTTTGAATAAAACTTATTTTACTAATATTATCTGCAAATGATTTGCATTAGAACAGTATATATGTTTCATGTTTATCCTTGCATAACTTTTTTAATTTAATGGTTTTGAAAGATATAATTTTCATATCTGAAATGTATTAAATGTATATTTTTCCTAATTTCTAATTTTTTACAAATTGTGAACATAAAACACTAGTATTTTAGTATTACATGAAATAAATACCTAATTACCAGCATTGTCATTTTGCTTTCATCCTGCAACTCTAACCTCTAACTTCAAAGAATAGATGAATATTTCTCATGTCAGTTCTTATTTTCATGTAGCTATATGTCCTGCCGTGGAGGAACCCAAAGGCTATCACTGGCCAGCCATCCTACCTTCTGAATACAACCTCCCTTGTCCAGACAAGCCTGGCTTTTCTGTTTCACGGATATGGTAATACTTTCATTGACTCTTGCCAGCAAAGCTCCACAGTCATTTACCTTCCCAGAGTCACAGGGCCTGGTAGTTCTCATGCATTGTATTCGTTGAAAAGAAGGGCAGGAATCTCTGTGTATGCCTAAATCGAAAATAAAGATAAGAGTAGGTAGGTTACCCAGAAAGGCAATGTTTTCCTCCCAGCAATATGCTAATTGAGCCCCCTCCAAAGAAAGAATGAAGAATTTTGAAACCAGAGGGTAGCATCAGAGCAAAGCACCTTGTATATAGGTGAACCTAGCCAGCTTAGAGCCTTGGAACATACACCTGAAATTCCAAAACTTTTTAACTATTTGGAGTGATTATTGTTGGAGGTGGGAGAGGAGGCAAAGAGGGAATAAAGATAAGGTCCAGGTTGGGGTAATCTTCTGATGGAAAATGTCAGGGTATAGATTTTCCCTAAATGTTGAATGGACACCTCAGAGACAAGACGGTTGCAGGGATTTGCAGAACAGCAAGTCCAACCGTGTTCTTCACACTCCTCCCCACTCCCAATTACATTTTTCTTGGAGGGAATTCAGCAATGGAAACTGCTTAAGTGTAAATACTTTGCATCTACTGCTGTGTTTGATACTTGGTAGGGAGGAAAGAAGGGGGCTTTGGAGATTTATGGACTTGAGTTTGAAATACGACTCTACCTCTTCCTCGTGTGTGACCTTGGATGATTCTTTGACTTACCTAAATCCATTTCCTCATCTATAAAATGTGGATTATAATCTCCTTCACAGAGTTTTATGAAAGAAAAATTAGATTTTACCTATAAAATTCTTAAAGCAGTATTTGACCAGTGCATCCTAGGTTAGGATATAGAATATTGCTGGTATTTTGTTTCCGTGATGTCTGCTACAGATTTTTCCTCAGTAAGAATAAATAATATCAGATTTATTTCAACATATTACAGTTTTATTTACAAATTAAACTTACCTAACTATCAAGGCAAATTCTAAAACATATTAACAGATTTTATCAGTTATGATGTCATTTATACCAAATATTTGAAATATCTTTTTTGTTTCATAGTTATAACAATGCTACAGACTCATCTTCAGCCTACTGGGGGCCCCTTGATCTCTCCAACTGTTTAAGTAAGTGAGCAATTTTTCTTTAGTTCTCAAGAACGAAATGAAATGACTTCATGCTTCATTGTTTTCATTGTCTTCAGATCCGTTCCTCTGCTGTGTAATACTATTTTAATATTAAAAGTCAGGCAAATGATTGTTTCCCTTAAGGTAGAAAATACATTTTTTTCTTCATTCAAACTTTCTGTTCTGTTTGTTCTGAAAGAGATTGTAAATAGTAAGGAAATCCGAGAGAAGACTTAAAACAAATATATAAATTGATATTTGCATCAATGTTTTATAGTTTTGTATTGTTTTTAAATCGCAAATATATATGTATTCAGTGATTCTGGGGACATTTCTCTTAGAATGACAGGTGATCATTGGTCTCTCCAAGTTATTTGTATCTTACTAAAGAGAGAAGTTAGTCTCTGTGTATAAAGAAATGGAGTACTCTCAGCCATAAAAAAGGATGAATTAATGCCTTTTGCAACAATTTGGATGGAACTGGAGACCATTATCTTAAGTGAAATATCTGAAAAATAGAAAAACAGACACCGCACTTACTTGCTATTAAACTGGAACTAACCAATGGGCACACCTGTGCACAGATGGAAGTAAAACTCAGTGGAAATCAAGCAGGGGGGAGCAGGGAGGAGGGGATGGGCAAAAACCTACCTAACGGGTATAGTGAACACTGTTGAGGTGATGGCCACACTTATAGCTGTGACTCAAGCATTACCAAAGTGATCCATGTAACCAAAAACATTTGTACCCCATTAATGTTTTGAAAAAAATAAATGAAATATGAAGATGGTGAAAAGGGAGTACACACAGGAACCCCACTTTCCTGCTTCAACTATAAAGTGAAGTATCACACTATACTATGGATTCTTAGAAATGCACAAAATACACACGTAAAACTTTATATGTTATGTCTTCTACATTCTTTTTTTTTTTTTTTTGGTAGGTGAAGCAAATGAAGTTGCCAATCAGATTTTAAATTTGACTGCCGATGTGCAGAACTTAACCTCAGCCAATATTACCAGCATTGTGGAACAGGTCAAAAGGATTGTGAATAGTGAAGAAAACATTGATATAACACTTGGCTCAACTCTAATGAATATATTTTCTAATATCTTAAGCAGTTCAGACAGTGACTTGCTTGAATCTTCTTCTGAGTAAGTATTTTTTTTCTGGAGAGTAATATTAATATTTATTGGATACATGTATTATTATATATAATTTCTCATGTATCTGAATATTTTATGCCCAGACTTTATAATTCAAATCTCTATAACATGCATTCCCAAGGTCATTTACAGCATGAACTTAAAACTTCTCTATTTTATTTTTATTTTTTGAAAAATGCAATTTGCAAAATGATTATAGTTGTCATCTGGCAAGATATGTAAATAGTCCCAGAAAAGCATAATCAGTATTTCATTTTTTATTGAGGAAAAATTCTAAAAGTTTAGTTAACCAAGGTTATACAATTCAATGTGTATACAGTTACTTCATTTAGTGTATTAATATGAAGGTGTTTAACTTTTTGTTTATTCCTTCCCTTTAACCACATTTCTTTGATGAAAAATTTTTATTTGTTAAAATGTATTTTCTCACTTTTTCTACAAGATAATAATTATAAACATTTTTACAGTGTCTTGCAGTTCACAAAACACCCCGTTATTTCCTTTGATTCTCACTAAGTTATAAAGTAGGGAGGGTATTTTTCATGTGAAGAAAGAGAGGCTAATGTGAAAGAAAAACAGTATTTTTTTTTTCATTTTTCATTTTTTATTTTTTTAGAGGCAGTGCAGGGTCTTGCTGTGTCACCCAGGCCAGAGTGCAGTGGCACAATCACAGCTCACTGCAACCTCCAACTTCTGGGCTCAAGCGATCCTCTTGCCTCAGCCTCCAGAGTAGCAGGGATTATAGAAACATGCCACCATGCTCAGCTAATTTTTTTTTATTTTAATTTTTTGTAGACACAGGTTCTTGCTATGTTGCCCAGGTTGGTTTTGAACTCCTGGCCTCAAGTGATCCTCCCTCAGCCTCCCAAGTGCTGGGATTACAGGTGTGAGCCACCACACCAGGCCAAAAAACAGTATTTATTCAGAATAATTTAGTTGTTGATTTTCTTTAAGGCAGATATTTCTCTTGAGGATACATCCATCACTGTGATTCTATGTTTTAATTGATGTTATTGTGTTTTGGGGTAATTTTGTAAATATTCATGTTACGATCAGAAAATTTAAATACAATTTTATTTGGTTTGTATTTCGCCATGCAGCAAAGCATATATCTTTAGTACCTAAAACATTGTATTACTTAACAGGGTATTGTTGTCATTTCTTTAGAGCTTTAAAAACAATCGATGAATTGGCCTTCAAGATAGACCTAAGTAGCACACCACATGTGAATATTACAACTCGGAATTTGGCTCTTGGAGTATCATCCCTGTCCCCAGGAACAAATGCAATTTCAAATTTTAGCATCGGCCTTCCAAGCAATAATGAATCGTATTTCCAGGTAATGAACCAGTATTTTCTTTAATTTTAATTAATTAACTAAAGTATAAAAACTTGCTGATCACTTAGCAGTGGCTGCTTCAAAGAGATATTGGTCCATGAGGTGGCAATCAAGTCTGAACATTGCCTAAGTAACTGTAGCAGTAGCCACAAGGTCTTGTGGAAGCACACAGGAGGTACATTTTCATAATCTGGATGGCAGAGGTGGTCAGCTAAGCTTCTACAAGAGGTGATCCTACAGCTAGGTATTAAAGCATGAGTAAGGGCCACCATCTTGGGGGTAAGGGTGAGGGTCAGTTCAATCTCAAAAAAGAGCTTTATTAAGGGCCTGAAGGTAAAAAGAAGCAGGAAGCATTCTCTTTACTAGTGATTCTCAAAATGAGCATTAGAATCTCCTTTGAGGACCTGTTAAGATAGATTGCTGGATCTTAACCCCAGAGATTCTAATTTAATCAGTCCTGGGTAGGTACCCCAAATTTGTACTTTTAGCAAGTTCCCATGTGTTGCTAATGCTGCTGGTTTGAGGATCACACTTGGAGAAGGAATGATGTAGAAGTCCAGGAATGGCAGGTGACTGCAAGGCAAGAAAAATAAGCTGGGGCAAGTTTAATAGAGTTTCTTTGACAGGTTCAGGTGACACTTCAGCCAATAATTTTCAAGTTCCTACTGTGTGCCAGACAACTTTAGCCACCAGGGCAAACGAAATGAACGAAGCATTGTCCTTGACCTGGCAAAGTTTGTGGAGCATAATACTTCTTTAGCTGTAGAGATAGAGCAAACTGAAAATATAAAAAGTCTGCAATCAGCAAATAGAGAAGACCTTTTTTCTCCTGTATACTAGGGGCTCTTTTGAGTAATTCTGTTTCATATTTTAAGTGGAAACTCGATCAACCCCAGTCTCATTCCAAGACCATTTTCAAGAAAGCTCTCTTTGGCCTGAGCTACGATTTCAGGAAAAATGATCCAAGAGTATTCATAAAACTTCAGTTGTTGCCTCTTTGCAGAGATAACTCAGTCTTTGCAATCAGCAAATTAATTTCAAGCTCTTTCTTTTTCTCTGGTAGTTATTATTTTTCACTAAGTGTTTTGAGAAAACCTCAAAATCTGATAATAGTAAATGTAATTTTTATATTTGGAAATGTTGACTGATTTATAAATATCTCAGTTTGCGTTAGTTAAAACCAACACATTTTCTCCTTTTGTACACGTGAAAAACCCAAATGAGATCTATGGCTCTGTTTGTAATGGATTTATCCAGGAGTTGCAATGACTGCTGTAGAGATCAAGGGAGGTCCCAGTCCTAGCTAACTTGATACTTGGCAATTTTTCTCTCGACTTACTCAGCATGTGGATTAAGTAATCATTACCATGTAGTTGTGATTACTTGACCAATATATCTCTCTGTGTGAGACAGATGGATTTTGAGAACAGACAAATGGATCCACTGGCTTCTGTAATTTTGCCTCCAAACTTACTTGAGAATTTAAGTCAAGAAGATTCTGTATTAGTTAGAAGAGCACAGTTTACTTTTTTCAACAGAACTGGACTTTTCCAGGTAAGCATTCACTGAATTATTTTTCAATTGCAAATGAAGTTTCTTTGCTCAAAGGTAAAAGTTGAGATTCTTTTGATATGTATCAGGGGTTTAGAAAAATTAATCTGTATTTTTAGAAATGAAAAATTTTAACATAATTGCTTAAATATTTTATTTCAGATAATAATATGCTTAATAGAATATTCCAGTTTTTAAAATAAATCAAATACTAGGCTAGGATTTGCATGATACAATTTGAAATTGAATTCGTGAAGAAGTTACTATTTGTTATTCCTTTTGTTAAATATTTTATGTTCTCCAGTCATTTAGACCTTTAAAGAAATTGTACACCAAAGGAAAGGATTTTTTTTTTTTTTAATTTAGCAGGAAGCTCTGTTTACATAATGAACAGCATTCTTGGCTTTAATCAGTTTTCCCATTAGTATTTCAAGTGACCCTTGGCCTTCACACATCCGCAGAGTTAGGTGGCATTGTGCTGAGCACATATTATCATTTTTATTGGCATCATTTCTAGATACTAGAAGGTCCATTGCCAGCAAACACTGGTAACCTCTGGTTGCCTTTGTAAATACAACTCAATCTAGAGCAGTTTTGCTGAGCCCTTTCTTAAAAAATAAAAGTTATCTATTAAGTTCAAGATACCAGTGTATAGCAAACAATGTGAGCTATATAGGAGAAAATAGCAAATCTCAGGCCAAGTAGAATTGTTTCTAATAGATCTGTCCTATACATCATGTGTAGAGGAATGGCCAAGCAGGTTATAGATAAGGAAAAGGAATACCATGGAATCATTGACAGTAATTAATTCCAAACTTTAAAAATTTTATTAACAAATGATTTAGGAACAAGCTATATAAAAATTTTATAATTTATATATTTTATATAAAAACACATAATTTACTAGATTTTATAGCTATGACCACATACAACTACATTTGTTAAAATTATTGTAATTCAAGGCTTACAACGTCACCTTTAAAAACAATATAAAAAATGCAATAGGTGTCCCGAAATGTGAATGGTACAGAAAGGAGGTCCAGTTCAGAGGCCAGGTTTAGCCCTATGGGAAGAGTTTGAGACGACTCTCAGAGTTGTAAGGATCTGTCATTGTTTTATTTTTAGTCTTTTCCACATCATTTTGTCCTTCTCCTTTGGCATCTCCCAAAGTTGATAATAGTAGGAAACATGTGCGTTTGGTTTTTAAAGTAAATTTATAACAAAGTGAAAAAACGTTAAGGGTTCTATGGTAGTCCCCTAACATGGTGGGTAAGATGAGTATTTTTTGATAAAAGCCTGGGTATCACCAACTAATAGGTGACTTTACTGATAGTGACCACCACAGAAAATTAATAAAAAGCTGTATTTTGGATGCTGAGTTTTGTATGGAATTCAAGAAATCCTGCAATTATTCCAAGACAACTGATTCATAAGCTGAGATGTAGAGAGAAATTCGGGAGGTTTGACAAGAAACACAAGGGGAAGAAAAAAAACTAGAGGTGAGCTTGCTGGAGAGAAAGCCTATTGGTCCAAATCATTGTGTGGCACAGATTCCATTTCCTGACAGCCTTATCGCTGAAGTGGAATCTGCAGATAACTGGCAAGCATCCAATCATAGAAGAAGGTAGAAGTTCTGCATGGCACTTTAATCCAGTAGAATTACATTTAGGTGCAAGTTAGTAAACATGTCAGGCTATTGGCATGGGTGTGAAAGACGGATTGCTTTTTATTTTCCATACCATACTTCCTTCATACTTCTGTAAAGGAAAACAATTTCATCTATTTTCTAGAGTAGGGAAATGATCTAATTGTGTCATAACTTTTTATGAGTTTATATTATTTATGAGTTTGCATTGTTTCAGATGTTAAGTGGCTGATATCAGTCACCGCAATCAAGAATGGAGTTTTATGAACATTGCCTTACAATATTGGCTCGTAATGTCCCCTCGATGTATTTATTATAATAAGGGAAATTGCAAAGCTCCTTCAGGAAAGCCAACAATTGGATGTTATAAACAGGATGTTCTAGAATTGAAGATCTTAAGTGTAAAAATTGCTGACAGTTTGCTTATTTTGGAGCACCAAAGGAAAACAAGAGTGTGTCCTCCTAACACACGCGATTTTGTTTTTCTTTAAAAGGATGTAGGACCCCAAAGAAAAACCTTAGTGAGTTACGTGATGGCGTGCAGTATTGGAAACATTACCATCCAGGATCTGACAAATCCTGTTCAAATTAAAATCAAACATACAGGAACTCAGGTAAGAAAATGCTACCGGTAGCAATCGAACAGAGGCAGATTATTTCAGAGAATGGTCAGGCCTTTTTCCCTACATGATAAAGAGTAACTGGCCCTTTTTGGGAGAGAGAAGAAATGGAGAACGCTGGTCAGGGTGTGCTCTGAAGTCACAGTAAAGGGCAACAGCTGGGGGAAATTTATCTTATCTGGGACTTAATATTCAGCAGGAAAAGGGCTGCTGTGTTTAAGAAACAACATATATTACTTCCATAAAACAAGCCAAAAGAGAAATGGAAGGTCTGACTTAATACTTAATATTCAGCAGGAAAAGGGCTGCTGTGTTTAAGAAACAACATATATTGCTTCCCATAAAATAAGCCAAAAGAGAAATGGAAGGTCTGACTTAATTTTGAGAGGTTAGCTTATTTAAAATCTTGGCAAATATTACTTTTCTTGTTGCTTCACTACCCTTGCTCTCATTTGTTTATTTGATAAAATTAGTTGGGGGTTCTTATTGTCCCAGAGGGCCTAGGAAGAGGTTTTTGTCACTTTTGTAGCAGGTCCCTGTCATGATTCTCCATTGATTACGTAGGCAGGAAGGTAGGCAGGGAGTGAGGACTGGAAATTAAGTCACCTAACAGCCTCCTTTGTCACCAACCCCCTGAGCCCTCTTTGTGCTACACTTTGGCTTCATTTGTTTCAGCCCCTTCATCTATGAAGGAAGATCTTTTTTATCATGGTGAAATATACAAAACCTAAAATTTAACATTTTGATCATCTGTACAGCTCTATTCTTGTTGTGCAGCCATCACCACCGTCTACCTCCAGAACTTTTTCATCTTCTCTAGCTGAAACTGCGTTCCCATTAAATACTAATTACCTATTCTCCCTTTCCCCAGCCCATAGTAACCAACTTTCTACTTTCCAAGTCTATTAATTTGACTACTCTCAGTATCTTATGTAAGTGGAGACATACAGTACTTGTCCTTTTGTCACTGTCTTTATTTCACTTAACGTAATGTCTTTAAGATTTATCCATGTTGCAGTCCAACATCCATGTTGTGTCAGAATTTCCTTCCTGTTTAAAGTCTGGATAATATTCCATTGTATGTATATACCAGATTTTGTTTTTCCGTTCATCCATCAATGGATACTTGGATTTTGACTCTTGTGAATAATGCTGCTGTGAGCATGGGTCTACAAACATCTCTTTGAGTCTCTGTTTTTGATTTTTTAATGTAAACGCCCAGATATAAAGGAGGGTTTTGAAGATGATGTGTGAAATTGTAATGTGAAGAGCTGTGCTAAATGCCAAGAATGATGGTAGAGTCAGTATTTAGTGATGTGACATTCATAGTAACCTACAGATCAATGATAATATGATTCCTCATGAGGTTATAGTTGATTTTCACTTGAAGTCTCTATGAGAGAGATCCCCCCAGATTCTAAATTGCCTGACATTTTCAGGTTGTATTGGCATAGCTCACGCTGATCTATTTCTTTGTGAAACCCTTGGCATTTTAACTCTTTTGCCATATTTAAATCATGGCATTTTAAACACAGTTTCACATGTTTATTCTTATGTTAATATAGGAAGTGCATCAGCCCATCTGTGCCTTCTGGGATATGAACAAAAACAGTAAGTTTTAAAATATTGGTTGTCTTAATATAGATAACAACTGAATTTTAAACATTGTTAGACACCCCCGTTTCCTTTCATTCCACCCTAAACCAGAGTGAGTCACAACGTAAGTGTAAAATGGCAACTGAGCTGCAAAAGTTAGTTTAGGTAGCTTGGGAAGTCGATTCTAAGTTCTGTAACTTTTTAGTCATTGCAAGAAGAAATAGGCAGACTTGACCCTGTTTTCTTTTTTATTAATATTGGAACAACCTCTTTGATTTCAATTATTCATAAAATACAGTACACATTTTTATTGCCACTTTTACATGAACATAGACATACACTTAGTCTCATTCTTCTAGGACACACCTGAGGAGATTATTTGACAGGCACAAGGCATACAATTTGAAGTCCAGATTCCAGACCTCAAATTATAAGGGGGATGGAGAAGCAGACTAAAGGAATGTAAATATAGGAATGGTTATAATGAACATGTATTCCTTGAAAGAAATTAACAGGCTCCAAAATAATATTCAACAGTCAAGAAAGGAAGGCAAAATTAAGGGATAAACAAATAATTCAGGATAAGATGTAGAAGTCTCTTTGAGGGGAAGTATGAGGGAGGAAAGCCCCATTGCCTCTCCCCTGGGGGTCACTGTCCCTCAGGGTCCCTCATTGGGATTATTGTGGCCAAATTCATTCTGCTGTCAATGCAGGCTTGCTCTCCTGATAAAAAATATAGTCTAAAAGTGGCTAAAACTTCTCTTTTTGATAGTCTTCATCACAACTGGACAGCTTTTTTTTTTAAATTAATTATTTGGTTTTGAGTTGCATAGTTTTTACTCATATATATAGTAAAAATATCGCCTTGTATCTTAAAATATTATTCAAACAAATAGATAAAAAAGTTCAGCAATATATGAATTGCTCTTATGCCATTTTATATCATAAAAGATGTATTCAAGCCATTTATAATAAGCTATCAGCATCCATGACTGCTATGTACATAACAGCACATTCTAAGAAAGCAGACCTTCTTTGTTATGTCTTCACAAAAATGTAGACTGACCTTCCAAAAAAAAATGTGTTGGTCTCCAGAGAGTTCATTAGCATGTAACATATTTGAAAAGGAGTATTCTGTTTATAGAAATTTATTTTAAGATATGTTAAAAAATTAAACTTGAATCAAATGTTTTTCGAACCCCCGAGGCACTCAGTGGTACATAGTTTGAAGCCACTGACCAAATAATCTCTACCTGCCCACCCAGTGCTAACATGCAGTGATTCCAGGAATCTTTAATAATAATGTCTTTTTTACAAATAAACTCTGTAATGTAGAAGAGACTGAGGCCAATTTCCCTAAAGGTCTCACCCATTATTGAGAAGACACTGACCTGCTGTGATTTTCACACTGTTTCTTGATTCCTTCAACAGCAAGTGTTGGAGGGTGGAACATGTCAGGATGTGTTGCACACAGAGGCTCAGACACAAGTGAGACGGTCTGCCTGTGTAACCACTTCACACACTTTGGAGTTCTGATGGTAAGCGGGGGAATTTCTAAGCTCGTTTGGACCTGATATAATTTTGGAAAGCACACTTCCTTTTTATGAGTCTACCTTTTTAACTTATGTGTTCTTTTAATTGTTTCCTGATCCTTTTCATCTGAATCTTGATTCTTTTTTTTTTTTTTTTTTTGGGACAGAGTCTCACTGTGTTGCCCGGGCTAGAGTGCCGTGGCATCAGCCTAGCTCACAGCAACCTCAAACTCTTGGGCTCAAGCAATCCTTCTGTCTCAGCCTCCGAGTAGCTGGGACTACAGGCATGCGCCACCATGCCCGGCTAATTTTTTAGATATATTTTTAGTTGTCCGATTAATTTCTTTCTATTTTTAGTAGAGACGGGGTCTCACTCTTGCTCAGGCTGGTCTCGAACTCCTGAGCTCAAACAATCCGCCCGCCTCGGCCTCCCAGAGAGCTAGGATTACAGGCGTGAGTCACCGCGCCTGGCCATTGAATCTTGATTCTTAATGAAGAATCTAATTAGCAGAGATCATATATTAAAAATATGTGAAGGTATTATAGAAAAGAACTTTCCCTTTTTTTCCTTCTTGTAGCATTAACTGTGACGATAAATAATACCAGAAACAAGAAAATCCCGGTGAAACCCTTGGGTTAAGGGAGAAACAGTAAAGGAGGCAGACAGGGAATCAGAGGGGTGGGGAGAGAGGGAAAGTTACAGAAGAAAATGTCAGGTGTTATTTACATGGAAGGGAACTGTGAAAAGTGAGGTCAAATTTTTTTCCTTATGTTATCACTCAGTGTGTTTGAATGTCACGTTGTACCAGGTACTGTGCCAGGCGATCTCCCTCCTGGAGATTGCAGCCTGTTGGGACAGACTGGTGGCTAGGATGGGGATGGAGGCTTCTTCAGTCCTGCAGGAGAGATGGTGGGTGTGATGAGTCTCTCACTCTTAGGCCTCCACATCAGTCTTTCCTTCCTTTCTTCCTTTTTCCTTTCCCATGGCCCTGTTTCATTTCTCTCATTAGCCAGCTTGCCCGACAGTTTTAAATAAAATTAGATCACATCCATGTGTTTTTTCATCCTACCAAATTTTCAAGACCCACTCCACATCCAACAACTTGTTTGAATTCATCCATAGACTTATACCTTTACCTTTTACCCGGTAAACTTGTGACTTTGCACACACCTTCCTGGGGTCCAGGGGACCCTCCGGATTGGACTGTAGCCATTGTTTCTGATTAGTCCCCACAAAGGAACCAAACCACATTTGTTTTTTAATGGGAGATGGGAGTACTGTGAGCCGAGGCAGTAAAGCTTTTCAAATTAGAATCACAGACATCAGGTTGTGTTTATCACCTCCCTTACATCTTACACCCTTCCTCCTGCGGGGAGCGGGAGGAAGCAGCCGGGAGACGTGGGATGTAGTGTTTGGCTCCTGCATCTATGTAAATGACCACTGTCGTGTGGCAGCGCTGCACGTTGTAATTTTCCTGACAGTCAAGTGCATAAGTGCTCTCAGGGATAAGAACAAATCATTTTAAAAGCTGACAAGTCATAGAAAATAACTGTTTAACTTCCTAAAATATAAATATTTTTCTGCGCTCTTAGAGCATTAAAATAAACAATTAAACTATAACATGTTTTCCCTAAGTAATTAAAAAGGAAAATTTAGTTTCCTTCCATGTTCTCTTTTCTCCAAAAGTGACAGCAGGCATTCTTTCAGAAAATACTTATTTTGCATGTTTACTCATTGAGGTGTATAAGCTTTAGCGTAATTCATTTAAATATTTCAGGTGTGTACGTGTGTGTGTTTGAGCATGATGTGTGTGTTGTAAGTCAAATATTAAATAGATAATAGTAACAAAATTCAGGCCGTGTGCGATGACTCACTTCTGTAATCCTAACACTTTGGGAGGCTGAGGTGGAAGGACCTCAGGAGTTCAAGACCAGCCTGACCAAGAGTGAGACCCCGTCTCTACAAAAAATAGAAAAATTAGCCAGGTTTGGTGGCATGTGCTTGTAGTCCCAGCTCCCTGGGAGGCTGAGGCAGGGGAATTGCTTGAGCCCAGGAGTTTGAGACTCCAGTGAGCTACAATGACACCACTGCACTCCAGCCTGAGTGACAGAATGAGACCCTGTCTTTAAAAAAA